GTGATCTCATTTGCATCCTTACCGAGAAGATGCTCACCGACAGCCTTGCTGGAAACCGATGGGCCTTCATTTCCTGGATGAGAGAAAGAACGCTGCGCAAAAAACCCTAAAAACAAAACATTTACCATTACAAGCCGCAGTGTGATGCCTGCATTACCACAACAATTCAGCAATGTTTTGACAAATATCATCCATATATTTTTCTATAATTACAGCTAGACTTGATTCCAACAGGAAATCATCAGTGACAATCGAAGGCCGATGGGATTTTTATATGCGACTCAATCTGAGGTTGGAGTTTAAGTTGTTACAATTTAATGTGAATGTGGTTAGACGCAACATAAGCATGCCAACGTCAGTAGTGTGAGATGAAGTTACCGTCTTTTCTCTGGGTGAGCAGCTGGACTCGGGAACGGACCGACGGGATCATTGGTGTGTCCGGTTTTGCCTGGAACTCCGCTAGACGTCCGGATGAGGACGGCTCAGGAGTCAGGTTCTCCTGACCAGCTGCTTCCACACGTCGTCGCTTCAGTCCATCTTTTACTTCTGAAACAGCAAAACGAATGCTTGCTAAAGGCCGGCACAGTACAAATATAAAGATTTGGTTCTTAACGTTGCAGTACATCAAAAGCACACCTGCTGCAGGTACGATGTTGTCTTCAGTGTCCGACAGAGGTTCCCTCTGCCTCTTAAAGGTGATATTGCTGCCATTTTCCTGCCCAGCTTCCATGATTAACTAAAAACAGACACAAAACAAGCATGTTGAAGTGTTACTTCTCTCCAAATCAAACATAAAAGCAGAGTCAACTATAACAAATACAGCCCTTAACACCCATTAACAACTTTTCCCAAAAAGTTTCATTCAGCGCAAACAATGCAAAATCATAACATATGATCAGATGTTGATACATGAACACAGCACAAAATAACTATTGCATCAATCTCAGTATCAGCTGTTTGAGGTAATCAGAGGTTAGCTTAGCTTGAATAATAAGACCTTGTGGTACTCAGCTGTTTACACACATATACAACATATTGATGGTCAATAACACTCAATTGTTCAAATTAGAAACTATATTTTTTAATGATTCATAACACCATGCAGTAAGCACAGAAGACGTTTGTGAAAGGAGACGTGACAACGCCCAGGTCAAAGTAGGTTTCAAATGAAACGCAGGTAAAACAGGTGGCTAGTTCAGCTGCTAGCTGCCCCACAGTGTTCAAACTAACACAGGAAACCTAAACAAAACTAAGTGGCAACTATTTGAACTAACTTTAGAGAGACAGAATATAATATCAAGAGTTGGTCTTTCAACATTAATAGATGTGTGTTTAAAACGAGCCATATTATTTACAGTCGGCCATCATAACGTTAGCTTAGCTTCGAGTTGACGCCATAAGCGGAAAAAAGCTTGAATTTCTCAACATAAGAGCCAAATTCGTTGTTGGCGTCTTACCTGAGAATGTGTCTTAAACCCTTAAATTCGATTCAGGTCAGACCTAAGTTGCGTTAAATCGAGAGAACAGCCTCCTTGCCTTCAAGTGTTACAGTGTGCTGCTCTAACTTTGAATTTCAGCGGGTCCTCTGACGTCAGCGGAGCGCACAAATGGACTCTTCCTGCTACCGTAATATACCGACACTCTGCGCAGCTCGCCGTTTGGTCAGCAAACAAGGTCGTAGACCCGTATTTCATTAGGTAACAATAAAACAAGCAATTCAAATCAACGTTTTACTGTTATGGACACGCAGAGGGTACGTCATTACTGCAATAAAACTGCAATCAAAGGTCCAAGCTGTTGCACTGTAGATACTAAAATAAAGTATATTGCCTCACCAGCAGTCGCTCAGCTCTGCAGAGGCCTGATGAGGAGCTCATTTGATTCAGGTGTGCAGGAGAAGGGACGCATTTAAAATTGTAAGATGTAGTTCTCGAGGAATGGGCGAGGGATTTTGTATAAAAACTTAGACACTCTTCATTTGATTACTATTTTTCTCTCATATTTCTACCCATTTTCCACCTAACCTAATCTAGACATGATTCTCCTCTGTACAAAAACTTCAGTTTCAAACCAATGAAGATGCAGATATAATTTCCAGGAAAATGCAAAGACCAACGCTGAGTAAAGTCCTTCTGCACAGAAGATCTTAATGTCTGCAACCCAGCAGTCTGTGACTGCAGAAGTGACTTAGTGACGTTGTGAAACTGAGCAGCAACAGTTTAGCTTTTTCTCTTCTGTTTAATAATTTTTTTTTAACCATTACCAATTCTTTGTACAGGATTTATAAGCGTCACAGAGCTCAGTCACATAGCAAAACGAGAAGCCTCCATCATCTTCCACCAACAGCATCATGAAAACTCTCTGCCTGTCTGTAGGAATGACGCTGATCGAGGCCTGCTGCCATAGATCAGTGTACATTATGCCTCTTGTTTCTGGAATGAATAAAGCTTTAATTTGTTTTGTATCTAAAAAAAACTTCAACAAGTGAGTGCTCAGACATTTTTGGCCTCATACAATGAAGGACTGAAAAATATATTTTGTCATGTTACAATGTGTGTTTGTTAGCCTGACTTTCACTTTTAAAATCACCAGAAGCCAAAATGTGTTGAGTTATCCTATGAACTCCTTTACAAAATCTATCTATCTATCTATCTATCTATCTATCTATCTATCTATCTATCTATCTATCTATCTATCTATCTATCTATCTATCTATCTATCTATCTATCTATCTATCTATCTATCTATCTATCTATCTATCTATCTATCTATCTATCTATCTATCTATCTATCTATCTATCTATCTATCTATCTATCTATCTATCTATCTATCTATCTATCTATCTATCTATCTGTCTATCTATCTATGTGATTTAGGTATTGATAAGCATTTAACTGCAGCATGGCTGCAGGCCTGAAAGTCCCTTTGAACAACAAGCTGCGACTTCGTTGTGTGGACAAAGGTGTAAAAGCTGCAATCTAAATATGTTGCGTCGGCGGTCTTATCTCCGATCTCATCTCCCAGCAGAGATGAGATCAATGTTTCCCTCATCTCGGCTTGCAAACAGATTTGCATAAACAGAGGAACTGAATCATGGTGCGTTTCCACACAGACATGTTCAGTTTATATTTATAATCCGGCGACCATTGAAAGGGTAACTCTGACTTTCTCGTTTTAAAAATAACGTTGTGTCTGGCCAATAGCTTTCTTAGAATTACATGCTGTAATATGGAAATCTTTACAGCCATAAATCAGACAATGACTAATGCACTGTCTTATGGTCTCCATTTTAAAGGGTTAGTTCTCAAAATTAAATATAAGCATTTTAAATGCTTCCTTTCTAGTGATTTCAGACAGATAGATTGGGTGAACATAAAGTGTGTTTTTTCAATTGTGATTTAAACAAACCTATATTAAACTTATATTAAAATGAAATTGGTTCCCTAATTAGTTCTGTCACCCTGAAATCTGAATAACTCTGAGTATCTTAAACCTGATTTTCTCTGCACTCATTTATAGATTGTGTATAGATGCATGTGCAGGCTTGTTACTTTATTTATTTGTTTACATATTTATTTTTTATTCATATTTATAAGTTCTTATACATAAAAATGTATAGATTTATATAATACATTCTATTGCTTGTGGTTATATTTGTACTATTAATATTTAACAATTTGGATGGAGTAGCTTGTCAACTGATAAACAATTTCCCCTTGGGGATCAATTAAATATATTTCATTCTATTCTATTATACTCAATTTAATAAAATTTTTGTTTTATGCTTTTATCTTGTCAATCCTCAAAATGTAGCTATCATCATCAAGATATATGTATTTTTTGGCCTAAGTGATCTTTTTGGTCAAAACCCTCTTGAATCCCAAAGCCTTAGAAACGAGCTTCAGGCCTCTGCAGACAGACTGACGTCATTTATTTTGTGTTTGACACAAAATAATTGTAGTAAATAACCTTCAACCTGAAGCAGTTTTTCATTTACGTTCAAGGACTTTCATGCATTCCTTACAGCTGATGTCACTGTGATCCTGTGCCAAATACATCCATTCAGAAAGCAGGAAGCCCATCAGTGAGTTCAGGATTTGGTCAGACCAGAAGAGACTCTACGGACAGCGCTTGATACCTTAAATAAGTTACGTCTTAAACTCTGTCTTTCATTGTACCAAAGTAGGTAATGAATCGTCGAGGGTCAGTTTCAGGTTAGAGAAATACACTACATTTTTTAAAGGTTTTATTGGCTCTAGTGGCCTTTATTTGAAAGTGGTTCCTCTGGAAAGAGGGTAATAGAAGACCTTTTCATTACCCTCATATCTCTGCTTAGTGACATGCAGCAAATGTCACTAGACCAGGAACCGAACCTGTGACCACCACTATGACGACTAAGGCGTCAATACGTGGGTCGTGCTTTGCCCCCTGCGCCACCACAGCGCCCCCGAAACGGCTCATTTAAGGGGACTTTGACTCTGCCACAGCCACCACAGTGAGGATCCAACCCCAGTCAACTTGGATTTGGACGGGACGGTGGTACAAAGTGTTGCTGCATTTGACCCACGTAAAAACTGAATCCCATTAAAAATCCACCAGTAGCTTAGAGTAGAGTAGCTTAATCCAATCTAGACATGATTGTGCTCTGTATAAAAATGTCGGTTTCAGAATACTGAAGGTGCGACATGCTTCACGTTTAGAGGTTCAGTTTCCAGGAAATTAAAAAGACAAACGCTGAGTGAAGTGTCACATTTTTATCGCTGCAACCCATCTGTGGTCAGTGACTTAGTGACGTTGTGAAACTGAGCAGCAGCGGTTTCATTTTTTTTTTCTCCCCGGGGAAATTGATTTCTTTCTTCTTTTTTTTTAACCATTAAAAATTTTATCTTGGAAAAATCACCACCTCAAAAAAAAAAAAAAAAATTCAGTTCCCAGTTGAGCAGGATTTATAAGCGTCACAGAGCTCAGTCACAATCACAGCAAAACGAGAAGCAACAGAACATCATCGGCTCCAGCATCTTCCACCAACAGCATCATGAAGACTCTCTGCCTGTCCGTAGGAATGATACTGATCATGGCCTGCTGCTGCGACGCCATACGTGAGTGATCTCTGTCTTGTTCTTCGGTTTCATCTCATCTGATATATAAACTGTAGTTTCATGCTGACTTGTTTTGATTTCCTCACAGCTATGGCAGTACAGTTCAACACAGGTCCAATAACCTGTTGTGACCAATTCAGCAACATGAGAGTGCCACAAAATAGGATTGTGGACATAATAAAAACCCACAGCTCCTGCTTGAAAAGAGGATTCATGTGAGTTCGCTTTATATTTTTTCGATTAGACGTAGACTTCAGGTGAAAAGAGGATGAAACTGATTTCTTCTTTGTTTCTACAATCTGCAGAGTAGAGACTAAGAAGGGACGATTAATCTGCTTCGGACAGACCACTGCATGGGTTGAGAAGGCTTACAATCAAATGACCAACTCTGAAGGCAGCGGCCTGCAACAGTGAACGTCCTGAACTGTATTTATGTGCAGTACATTATGGAAATGCCTGTTGTTTTTGGAATGAATAAGCTTTAATCAGTTTTGTATGTAAATAAACTTCCACATTTTTGATTCAGACATTGTCTTTTGCATCTTTTGCTGATGTTAAACTTCACAGTCAGTGTTTGAGTTTCTGATGACCAAAGCACGTGTTGGGAGGTAAATTGAGACCAATTCAATGTGTGCAGAGCAGGACTGGAAGAGCTGAGGAGAAATGACAAAACGACACAGAATGAAAACAAATGAAAAACTGGGCTCACAAACTGAAAAGCAAGGAAACCAAGTAAAGATCCCAAAAAATGATGACAGCAAAGTCAACAAAGTCCAAAAGGCCAGAATCTGTTTACATCCATAAAGCGACAGACTGCAAAATGTATTTTGTCAACTTACAATGTGTGTTTTAGTCTGAGTTTGACTGTTGAAATCACAAGCAGCCGTGATGCATTAAGTGATTTTACAAGCTCCTTTTCAAAGCTAACAGATGCCATACATGAAGAGGCCACTTAAAATGATCAGTTTCTCTTATTTTGCTTTTTATAGGTGTAAGTTTGAGTAAAATGAACATTGTTCATTTACTCTATGAACCACTAACAACCTGTATTCAAAATCCCAAGCAAAAATGTAGTATTTAGGAGAAGAAAATGAGAAATGATCAAAATCACAAAAAAGAGGCAGTGATTTCAGAGCTCAAACAAAAAAAAATAAAAATCTCAAAACAAAACAAACAACCCCTCCACCCCAAAAAAATACAAGTTCATATTCATTTAGAAACATCAACAACACTGTTCTAACTCAGGAAACGTTCAGAAATCAATATTTTGGTGGAATAACCAGGAGTTATAGCAGGCAGTTTGTTCAGATCCAGGTGTTTGTGGTCTGAGTCGACCTAAACTAGAGATCTGTTTATCAGTGAGGAAATGATTTCACCGATTAAGACAAGTCTGTCTAAAACTAAAACTGGGAACATAGAAATCTGTCAACTATTGAGGTATCAATAGGACTTCTCATCAGAAGAGGATTTGATGGCAGAGATGGAAAACCAAAACAATGAGCAATGTCAGTCCGATCTTTTATTGGAAACCTGAAGAACATTTTCAGAAATTGTGCAATGCTGTAGAGAAGGATTTATAGATCTACATCTCCACTTTGATGTTAAGCTGCAGTCAAACTCTGTATTTCACAGAAATAGTTTTGTCTGAACTGAGTCCTTTGATGATTTCATTGTTTTAAAGTAGCGCAGAAAAACACAAATCTCTTTCTTTTACAGCTGTATTGTAATTTTTCTAACTAGCTATACATTTCCTCTTACATATATTTCCTCCAATACCTTTTCTCCACTTTATCTCTCTCTTTTTTTTTAATTCCCCGACGTGTTTCTTTACTGTGGGTTTGTGGTGAGCGTCTTGAAAGTCTTGTAACAGAATCATAATAAAGTCAATAAAAAACTTAGAAATATCTGTAGGAATATCATTTGGAAGCCTCTTCAGAGGTAATACTGCACTTCCAAACAATCCTTTTAGGAAGTTTCTAAAGTTTAAACTCTTGCACAGTAAAAAAGATACAACTGTGGTTAGACAAACGCATGTCTCAAACCCATAGAGTTTGCAGACGGGACATGAGTTATAACACGAACGTTGTTGTGAGCAGGTTGTGTCACATGCTGAGTAAAAGACGAGGAAACGTCTGAAAACTAAGAGGACAAAGAATGAGGCTGATCGGCAAGGAAAAAACCCAAACAAGCCAAAGGAATAATTGCAGGGGAAACTTGAATGAACAAAGTATTTTATAGAACTCAGCACACGCTCACATATTCATGACGTACTTTGATTAAACTAATTTATCTTGGGTGTAATTCCAGTACTGAAAAATGAACTTCATACCAGGTGAGTCTCTCTTACCTGAGAATGTGAATCTGTACTGGATTTATTCTGCCTTCAGATAATTTTAACATGTAGAAGATTCACAACTTAGAACTTAAAAGTCTGAAACAGGAACGGGTCTGTAAAAACAGCCTGTGTGCTTCACTCAGGAGAGAGATTCATTTGATGCATCAAAGAGTGATGTCATCACTGCTGATGTCATTGTTGCCAGTGGAACCGAACATTCTACTGGTCCATTCACATCAAACCCGTTTTGAGCATCAGGCCGGTTTATATTCAAAGTCTATGTGGAGTGTTGGATGCGCTGGACGTGTCAAACGCTCCAAACGGTTCAAATTGCGCCGCGCTAGTCGCTCAAAGCGTCTCCACATAGACTGAATGCAAACCAGACGTACCTGATGCTCAAAACGCATTTGGTGTGAACGCACCTTTATATGTCCAGTGTCACATTAGGTCAGTGTTTCTCAGTTCCTGTCCTCAGGCCCCCTGCTCTGCATGTTTTAGATGTCTCTGTTTCAGAACATCTGATCCAAATGATTGCATGACCTCTTCTGCAGTCATCAAGTTCTGCAGAAGCCTGTTAGTCACCCACAGATTCAATCTAGGGGTGTGGCAGAAGGGGAAACACCTAAAACATGCAGGGCAGGTGATCCACCTGAGGAGGGGAAGTGAGAAACACTTCATTAGTTCCATCATATTAGGACCAAAGCCTGGTCCTAATATGATGGACTCATTCATTTGGGTAATGTTTAGAGGTAAGATCCAAATTAAGTTTTAGTTAATAGGAATTGTTGTGGGGGAAAAAAAAAACTATTTCTAAGCACCGTTCAAGTAAAATCACTCAGTCAGGTTAATTCATGCATTGTGCACAATGCAGAGAGCTCATAAGACGATCAATAATCAAGCCAGTCTGGATGCAAAGCTCACAAAACTCTCCCAGGCAGAGACAAACACCTAAGTTTCATGCAAGGATAAGGAATCAAATCAAGGTGCGAGTCGGCCTGGTTCCCGTGCAACCATCCAATCTCGTACATTTAACCCAAATAGTCCTCGGATGTTCAGTCGAGGGATTTTGATTCCTTATTCTTGCATAAAACTTAGGTGTTAGTCTCTGCCTGGGAGAGTTTTGTGAGCTTTGCATCCAGACTGGCTTGATTATTGATTGTCTTATGAGCTCTCTGCATTGTGCACAATGCATGAATAAACCTGACTGAGTGATTTTACCTGAACAGTGTTTATATAATGTTAGTTATATTTCTGCCAATTGCATAGATGCATTAGACTAGTAGTCTAATGTCTTAGGACAACTTAGGACAATTTAGAAAGACCAATTAATCAATTAATTAATGCAGAGTTTTAGTCTAACCTGGGTTTGTATTGTGACCGAGGTTAGTACCCAAGTGTGGGTCGCCGCAAAGGCCGAGCCGGGATTAGCTTGCCCTTCCTGCCAATGCCAACTCGAAGGCCCTCCATGCAACCGGTGGAGGTTGGTTGCATGGTCGTCTGTCTGTCCTCGGACCTCCAGGTTTGTGTGGAGGTCTGGGTTTGCGTGGTCTCCTCTCTTTGCAACCTGGATGTGGGTCGGTGCAAAGGCTGAACCGGGCTATGGATGGAGACCTCCGGTTGGTTCAAGGTCTGCCTGTCCCTGGACTCCTCTGTTTGCAGGGGGGCCTCTGGTCGGGTGGAGACTTCAGGATGGTTAGTTTCCATAGCAAGTTTTAACTTGAGCTTCAGGTCTGCAACTTGATCTTGCAAAGACTTCACTGTTGCCTCTTGTTCTACGAATTTAGAAGCTTGCTCTGCGTGATGTTTGAGCTGTTCCTCATATTTCAGCCTCACTCTGTACTCTTCGACCATTACTTCAATGAGGCCTTTATTGTGGGAGGCATGTTTTACAGCCTCCCACTTGAAGTAATCGAGCTGTCGAAGAAGGTCCTTGTCAGCTGTCACTTTGGTCGAGCAAGAAGCCCTTGAGCTACCTGTCGTCTCCGGCACCTTTCTGTCACGATCTTGTTTGACTTGCTGGTGACGTTCTTTCTGTAACAGGTTTTGCAGTCTTTGAATTTCGTCCTGCTGGGATTGGACTTGAGCCTGATAGGCAATCCTTTGTTCTCGTTCCTCATGGAGATCAAAGATCTTGCTCTGTAACTCTTTTTTAAGATCATCCACCTGCTTTGTGAGGTCGAAGACGTGTTGGTTTGTCTCGTCCTTGACTTCCACTGAGGGGGTGATCTGGAAGCCAGCAGACCGAGTTGTTTTCTGCTCGACTTCTGAAGATGATGGATTCTCAAAGTCGCCGGAAGGACTTGATTCCCCCTGGTTCTCTGATGGTACACCTTCCGGCTCAAAGGGGCTGTCGCTGTCGTCCTCAAAAGGAAAAACGACGGCGTCGTAGTCGACCTGGACGTTGAGGTCCACGATGTCGACCCATGAAAGCTTAGATGGAAAAGCTTCATGTTGACATGCAATTTGTTGGTGCTTCATGTCGGTATTCTTGCTGTAAAAGGCGTGCGATATCTGCAATCGATATCCCGCTTGTCTCAGTGACTTTCGAACGTGTTTTGTAGAGTGATCTGCTGCAATCGAAATGTGGAACAGGTCTGACAAAACTCTGTCAGTGAGCTGAATTCAAGAGAGAGATTCCTTTGTGGTGTCATAGAGTTATGACATCACTGCTGATTTCAATGATACCATTGGAAAAACATTCTTTTCCTATGGGAGTTGATGAGCAACCAGTCCTAGAGCACCGCCATCTGCTGGCCATTCATGGAAGTGCGCTTCTAAATAAAATTACTGCATCAAATGATTTTTTATCATCTGTTGAAAAAAGGCTGAAAAATTCTGACGATTTTTTGAAAATTCTAAAATTAAACTCTAAAATATGTTTTGTTTTTCTCCACAGTAACCCTAATATTCTTTTGCACCAGCAAAGACAATCAGGTTTGTTATATATTGATCATCTAGTGGTGGCAAAAGCAACAACAACAAAAAAAGCTAGTCTGCTCTGGACTTAAGATGGACAGAAAACAGGTAAAAGCATCAGGTAGTGCAAGCTAACTACTTTGTACAGGTATCAAATGTTTACAGCGTTTTTTCAACAATATTAAGTGAGCTTTTCTTCAACGACTGATTTAACACTTATCAATTGATGTGTTACTTATTGTGAGAGGTT